TGGTTCAAAATGGCCTGGGAATAGAAGAAAACTCATATCTCAGTAACAACAATACCCAATAATTAGCATAAAGATCCTATTTCAGCACCCGACAGGCTGCATCCTGATGCCAACCTGTCCGATAAGGGACGGTTTGATTTTGGGGTTGTGTTTTTATAGGAGAGGGTTCTTTGTACTCCAGCTTCTTCCTCACAGCGCCTTCCTCCTTAAGCAGATACCCACTCTTCAGTGCATAGAAGAATCATTTATATCCTGGGCAGGGCAGAGCTGGAGCAGCTGAAATATCATTATTAATACAAACAACCAAGATGCAGACTCTGTCATGCTGAGGCCGGTCCTGATACATAATAAGAGGTGTCCCTGCCTTCAGCTACTTGCAATTAAACTGGACAAGAGGTGGAAAGAAGGACAGGCACAGAGAGGTGAAGTAACCTGCCCAGGGGCACCTAGCAGGTTAGTGGCAGAGACGAGGATACACCTTAGGTATCCCTGATCCCAAGCCAATTCCCTGAGCTACCACCATACATACGGGTTTCACATTTACTAGTCCCTTAACATGCCTGTCTCTCCAGCACCCAGCACCATTTTTTTCTCATTTCCCTGAATTCAAGCCAAAATCCATATCTTTACAGTGCCCAGAACTGAGGATAATATTCCAGGCAAAACCTCTGGATTATCAAGACAATATACACCAAACTCACAATCTTCTCCTCTTTAGCCGGGGGGCTCCTCAGATACCAGCAGAGAGGGGCATAAGCTATGTTGATCACTCCAATGATGACCATCAGCCAGGGGAACCCAATGGCCCGTACGATTGCACCCCCTGTGGATGGACCTGGATATCAAGAATGGGTAAAAACAATTATAAATGCTTTCATTGCCAGTTAAGAGAGTTTGGTGTGATTGGTATAATTTATTCTAGTTGAGCTGTATACTCTGCGTTTGATGCCAACCCCAGGGCAGAGTAAATAATCTAAAGTTAATCCACCGGTAAATCACCATGTGTGCTGTCCCTGCAGGTAAATGGTAAGCCATACCAATAGCGAAGCCCATGCAGAAGGCCACATCAGCTATAGCGTAGACGCTGCCATAGACGGAGGCATGGCGGAGGTCCACCAGATACCCCATAATAGGCATCATCGAGGAGTCCACCATCCCTGCCACAAGCAAAACCAGGATTAGACATTGCCTTCTCCAAGCAAACCTTTTCCAGACACAGCCATTCCCCACTGCCTTTCATTCAAGGATCTCAGCACACTGCATGTTCATTGATCCTCAGTCTCCCTTTGTAAGATGGGTAAGTATTGTTATCCCCACAGGGAGAGAAATTATGCTACCAGGGAAACCTGGAGTAGGGTCCTGGTGTCCTTGCTGGACCTGGGGCCACCAAGATCTCTCTTGGGTGTAACATCCAGGTTCGTGCCAGTGCAGCGTTCCAAGAGGAGAGGAGATGCTGGACCCAGGCTATAGGTTACAGGGCATCCTGGGAGCCCATTTATGGGCTGGCGGTTCTCCAAAGTCACATTATAGAGAACTTGTCTTCAAAAGAGGAAGGTTTGAGCTCTAGGTAACTGGGCTTGCCTTCATGACTCTTATACAAAGCAAACAATCACACTGATCTCTTACCTATGGCAAAGCCAAGCCCACCGTTGGGACCAATCAGTCCATAAATATTTTGAGCAAGAGGCACCTTAGAGGGAAAAGAGAAAAGATTTGAGTGAGACAATGGGGGTGACCTTTGGAGATCTGTCTTTGCAGGGCACATAAGCTAGCATGATAGATAAACCAAGGAGACATTGGGTTTCTAATATGTGCCAGGCACATGAATATTAGAAAAATCACTAAGGACCAGACTGGCAAAGCTATTTAGCTGCAGAGGGTTGCAGAGAGGGGCTTAGTAGGATTTTCAAAAGCACCTAACTGGGGTGGGTGTCTAATTCCCACTGAAAATCCTGTTGAGCACCCATTTGCTGTTTAGGTGATTGAAAATCTGGCTCCCAGTATAATATGCTGCTGAGCTCCAGAACAAAACCCCAGCCTGAAAAAAACAAAAGTCTCTGTGGCTACTAAAGAAGAGGTGGTTTTCCTATTTGCAGATCCTGGAGGTGATCGAGTGATTCCTGTGCGATAATACATCCAGAATGAAGAAGATGAGACACCAGTATTGCTTCACACAGCACTACAAGCACACGCTACTCCTGCTCTGCCAACACTTCTTAATTACTGTATAAGTAATGGCCTTCTTGTTAGTCACGCATCCATGCTCCACCAAAGCACCTTGATTTCAATTGGCAACATCTCTGGGTAATTCTGTAGGCTCATTCAGGAACCACCTGTCTTGGGTTTATAACATGGAAGAGTTCTGTTATGAGTGTGATTGACATGTCTACATATTAGTTCATGCATGATGGGGCAATGGTGCATTTGTATTGCCTGGCTAACTTCTGATAATCCTTCAACAGGGAGGTCGCAAGGAGAGGTGGTGTTCCCATACTTACACAAAGGAGACTGACCCCCACCACAATCATTCCAATCAGGGAGCAGAGCCACCTACAATGAAGAAGGAGATGGAAAAAGAATGACACTCTGCAAAGCATTGGACCTCATGAACCTGGTCAGAGTATCAGTCCCTCCACACAACTACAGAGCCAAATAAAGACATAAGGTAAGGGATCTAGAGGAACAAGAGGCAAAATCAGAGTGGAGGGGTAGAAGACAATGAAGTTTCCTTACCTAGCAGGGATCCTCTCCTTACATGCATGGTATTTACTATACAGACCTGCACAGTGGAAGAGGTTTTCTTCCTGACCATAAAGGTTACACCCTGAAGCATGAGACTTGATTACCCTGATATTACTCTGAGTACACAGAAGTGCTGTGATTGGCATAAAATGATTCAACCTTATAAGAAACCTAAAAAAGCCCACCTAATTGACTCAAGTCCTGCAACATAGGTCCATAAGTCATTTTACTCTGTGCAATAGTAAATCTGTACCTTGGTTCTCAATGTACTGCCCATTTCTTTCATCTACCCACACTTCCTTGCCAACATCCTGTGTTATAGGGGTACAAATAAACTGTGGGGAAGGTAGGGTCCAGGTGTCCTTGCAGGGCCTGGGGCCATCAAGATCTCTCTTGGTATAAGCATCATGGTTTGCAACCCATTGGGTTCCACTTACCGCCCCATTTTGTGAGCCAGCACCCCAAAGAGGTTGGTGCCGATGAGGTAGGATATGCTGGCGGGCAAGAACGCCATCCCTGCAAGAAAAAGAGTAGGATTCCCCATGCATATACATGCTCTCCAATGTGGGCTTGCCAGAGGACAGCAGAGACACTTTCTGCCTCCACAAACAAGCTTGGAACCTATGTCCTTCAAGCGCTCCCAGCTAGATGGCAAGCTTTCAAGATGCTCATCTTTTTTTGCCCTTATTACTGGTGAAGGGTAAAAGATCTGGGCCCCATACTCTCAAAGAGGCCTTTAAAAGGTTGACTATGTTACATGCACATTTGCAAGTTACTCTCTCCAGTTATAAGCCCCCTTGTGAAGGGCTCCAGGTCCTTTGGGATTGGGCCTCCCCTTAGTCTGAATATGCCTCCTAACCAATCTTGTTATCACACCATCAGTCAGACAACACACACTTGATTGTGAGCTGGAAAGAACAAGTACAGCAAATGCTTGTGCAGCACAGAGCTACCAGGCAATCTGTGTGTGAGCCCTGTGAAGCAATGGTGACCCTCTTTCTTTCTTCTGTGGTTTCTTTACTATTTATCTGTGTTCCAGTCCCAACTAAGATCAGGGCCTCACTGTGCTAGATGCTATCTAAACTTATAGTAAAAGAGAGTCTCTTTCCCCCCAAAATTGAGATCTAGATAGCCAAGACACAGCAAGGTGCGAGGAAAGAATGGCTGTTATTTCTATTTTACAGCTGGGAAACAGGCACAGAGTGACTAATTAGTTCCTGTGGGGTGTGTGCATTAGACCCAGGAATCGATCCTAGACCTCTTGATTTCAGTTCTTTAACCACTAAACCATCCTTCTCTAGTTTCTCTTCCTTCCCCTCCCCCTTTCAGCTCAGAGGGAGAGGAAATAAAAAAATACCACATAATTGAAAAGCTCATAGATTATAATTAAGTCAGAATCAAATATTTGTCTGCCTGCCTATTTACCAGCTGTTTATTTTTAATATACTCTCCTCCAGGCTATAAATAAATCATGGTCAACTCTCTCTGCCTGTTTATTAAGGCAGCTTCCTTATTGAAAGACACTGATTTGTCTTTAATTTCCTTTCCTCTTATAATGCTTATAAAGCACTGTTGACTCTGCCTGGGGAAGTCCAGGCTATTTCAGCTTCTACAACAAACACCAAGTAGGCAAAATGAAACAAGGAAATAAAAAAATCTGCCTTTATAATTGCTCTTAAGATGGATGCTGATGAGCTGGCCTGAAGCCCATAGTCCTATTTGTTTGCTGAAAGCAATACAAGGTACCACTGTATCCTCTGCAAGGTGGAGAATCAAGCTCCCTTAGACTAGTGCTTAGCGTTGGCACTTGAGAAGCATGCTTATGGGGCTTGTCTCTGGAGCCCCAGGCTTTTAGGCCCTCTGGACCACACTCAGCCCTGGGAGATCGGGGAGAAAAAAAGTCTGATTTAACATCCTCCCCCCTTGCTTAGTCACTCTTTCTAGCCAAGGCTGCCTGGTCCCTTATCGGGATCAGTCCTCCTGCTTATGGAGGTAATAATTTGATTTAGCTGCTCTCACCAGCACTGCTGCTGCCAGGTACAATTCAATTTGGGTTGTAAGTGTAGCTTGGAGCATCCCCCACGGTCATTCCTCAGCTAATTGGATTTTGTCATCATTTTGGGGGGAGGGTGGACAATGCTATCTCCTCATCACATTTCTTAGACAGTGGGTAATGAGCAGGTACCCTGCTGCCTCCCGGGGGCTCTCCAAATGGCCTTCTTTTTTGCAACCCATCTGGCCAGCTATGCTTTTTCCCCTGTCTAATATGACTTATCAGTGCTGCCACACACAGGCGATCTGGCCAGAACCCACCAGGCTTGCCACTACAAAACTGGCTTTTCTCCACCCACTTATTGCCTTTGTAGGAGGTCTGACCATTACACAGCTTGTGCAGTCGTAGGGGAAAATCTGTTATGTGGGCACCACCAGTAAGATCTGTATGGGGCCATTGCCCTCTGAAAATAGCCAGGTGCTTCACCTAAGAAAGCTGCTTCTTAAATCCATTTTAGAGCCCAGGGTTTGTTTTCACTTATGCTGGTAACTCATCTGCTTTGCCACGAAGGCATAAACCAAGTCACTCCAGTGCTGAAAATCCTCCAGTGCCTCCCCAAAATTTGCCCCATCTCATGCAGAAGGATAGACAAGATCTCCCACAAATCACTGGAAAATAATCATAGAGCCCTAGAAGTCCTAGGTGCCCATTTCCTGAGTGGAAACTGCATTACTGTGAATCCGTCTGCAAGACAGTTTGATTCCCATCCTAGTTCTGCTGTCTTCCCAGTTTCACTCCACTGCCTTCAGTGGAATGGTTCCTGAGTTACAGCAGTGCCTATGTGAGGAAAATCAGACCCCGGGTATTTCTGCATCTTCAGTCAGGAATCACTGTATACTCTTATTTGTATGTGGCAGGGAATGGGTGACCCTCCTCCAGAAACATCAACACATTCATTTCCCCATCTTGCAGTGTTGCAGCAATCCATAATCTGGGAGCACTTGTCCCCTCAAAGGCAAAAATAGATCTAATTTCTTGCTTATTAGCAGGAAGGGCTAGTAAGCAGCATCCTCAGTTCACTGTACAGATGGCTTCTCTGAGCAGATTTTATTTGGATGTGACACACATACAAGTTGTTCAGTAACTTGTAGACACATGCAAAAAGCTGCAAAGCAAGGAACCTACCTAGCTGCCACTTCGGGGAGCACATGGTTTGCATCATCCAAATAGGCAAGGTGGGTTCCAGCATTGCTACCCCCATGTTAGCAAAGCAAAGGGCTCCTAGGTGGGAGAAAACAGAAGGGACACTCCAGTGTAACTGTCCACATTTTGATACATCTGCCTGATTACAAACACAGCAGAAGCCCCTGGTGAATATTCTTAATGGCAAGATGAAGATGTCTAATGAGGCACTGGAGGACTTAGCCACCTCTTACCTGCTGCAACCAGGATGTAGGGATCTTGCAGTAAAGTGAACACTGGGGTGCCTGTGGTGCTCTGTATAAGACAGAAAGGGCAGGGGTGATTGCAGCGAGCGCTTTAAAGGAAGTATGTAAGTCAAATCAGCTGCTAGGTAAGTGCATGGTCCAGATTGTGAGCCAGCCTGTGTGTGTATAGGTGTGTGGCCCATGCAGGGAGACTGACTTTCTGCATAAAGGTGTTTGGCAATATTACTGTGAAGTTGTGAGAGCCAAGATGGAGAAGCCCCACAAAAAGCTGGTTACGCTGATTGATTTTCCAGGGGCTGGTTCCCAACTGTCCCTTTGCACACTTGTGTCCAATGTCTCTGTGTTTATCTTAGCATCTTTTTCAAAAAGTCATGATTCAAAAAGCCTGTGTGTCGACTCAGTATACCAGACTGGATTTTCCAACCATGATATTTCTTTCATGAACTGTTACTGTGACATCAGCCTACTCAGTCCTAGAAAAAAATTGTTTCAGAACACTCCTCACTCAAACAGGGCAAAGGTTTTGGGGTTTTTTCAGATCACATAGCAGCTTAGAGACTACACAACAAGTCCTGTTGTCACTGACTAAGTTCACCTATGTGGCTGGCAGCATCTGGAAGGCAAAGCATTTGCTTTTCCCAGTGCATCCTCTGGACCCATAGCAGAATTCAGCCAGTTTCCCAGGAAAGGCTGGATTTCTTTCTGTTGCACCAAGTCAGACTTTGCTGTCAAACACACTAGTGCAAGCCTGTAGCAGCACGGCTGATGTCACCTAAATTTCCTCAGATTTGGGCTGAAGTCACTGAGATCAGCGCGTGGCCCAGTAAGGTAGTAAATACTCCTGTTAAGATGTTTTTACCAGTATTCAGGAAGGTCACTACCCAAGCAATCCCCATCACTCCCCTTTGCCAATGCATTCATTTCCAACACAGCCATCTTTCAGAACTAGCAATGTCACTTCAGTCTTCCTCAGTAGGGAAATCCAGGCTTGTATTGTTCACGCTATCTAGCACAAAGCCATGCACACTCATGTTTGTACTTACTTCAGGGGAAATCTTAGAAGGCTGCAGTATGCACAGCTGTAAAGCTAAGAGAACAACAACATTATTTACTTATACCTTGGCATGTCATCTCATTACACCATTACTTCTTGTCTCATGTGTAGAATAGGAGCCCCTTCATTGGCACAAGCCCCAGTAATCCTATGTGTGTGCCTATGAGGTGCTCAATCAATGGTAGGGAGAGTTACGCCCTTGTCCTACTTGCATTAAAACCAGTGGCAAAGGAATAAATCTATCGGGACCAGGATCCGGGTGTTATACTGAGAGCTTTTTTAAACAACCGGAAAGCCCTCAAATATGCAAACAAGCTATGATGAGCTGAGAGCCACTTCATAAGCAGCATCAACCAGGGTGTGTAGGAAACCAGAGATAGAAAAGACAAAGAGGAAGATATTCAGAAATTCCTGAGACTTAGCAGCCTTGATTTCATTTCCAAAAGACTTCTCCATGCTTTGATCTCTTCTGAAAATGGGACATGACTAAGTTGCTTTTGAAAACTTCCCCCACACACCCCCCCCCCCCCCCCCGTTAGATGGATTGCAATCTTTTTGTGGCAAGGACTGCCTTTTCGTTATAAGTGTGTGAAGTAATGGGGCCCTGATCCTTGGCTCAAGCCTCAGCACAAATAATAAATTATAATAGAAACAGGATCAGGTCATAGTGGCCATTCTACCAGCCAGTGTAATGTTCTTAGGGATTTTATTACAGCTTGAAATGGCAAAATATTACAGGCAGAGCAGTAATGATGGCTGTAGTAAAAGATGCCTAACACTTTTATTACATATAGCAGGAACTGGTATGGATGTCTCTAGTTCTGTTGCCCTAACATTTGCCAGTACAGGATGGGTTTTTTCAGTTTATAATTTTTTCATCATATTCTGGAACGTACTATATAGTCTGCAGCACAATGTAGTCATGCTCTAGTGAACAAGGAACCCCGTTTGATTTTAGCAAAGGCCAATTTACACCTGGATATAGAAAATAGGCTGCATGGAGCACCAGATGTATTTGTTAATGGGCGTTACGACTTTAGCCAGTGCAGAGAGCTCTTAACTTGTACATCACCGAACATGTTATCCATGCCAGAAAAACAATCAAATAGTTTATCGGGGCTTGAGGATCTGTATCTATAAATCACACATCAAGGAGGTATGTGTCACAAGGAGGTGGGAAACAGGACACAGTATTTAAGATCATATGTTTCTGAATGCAGAACAAACAAATATAATAACTAATGATGACAATAGCACCAGTTGCATATTACCCTGTCTGTTCCTCCATACAAGCCTGTGAGGTTGCCTCCTAGCTCTGCCTTTGCAAACATCTGAGTTTGGGGTTGTATTTGTCTGTGGAGTCACGAAGCCCAAACTGGCTGGCAGATTCTGTTACTCACCTCCATCCAACAAGGCCAAGAATGCCAGGATCAGAAAAGGGGAAGATTTTCCAACAAACTCATACATCACACTTCCGAAGGGGGCCCCAACTGCAAGGGAAATAGCTATGTCAGTGAGTGCAGAGGACATAGGGAGGAAAGGGTATGATTTCAACAGTAACAGACCTGAGGCCAAAGCCATGACCCACTGAAGTCAGTGGAAGGAGTCCTGACAGTGCCAGTGAAAGGCCTGTATTAGAACCTGGTGTCTTGTCACTCTGAAAGATCTTTTACTTACACTGTGTTATTTGCCATGTTAAATTAAAGATGCTGGGGGAGAGAGGATGGAGACATTTTATACTCAGTAGCTGTTGTCATGGTGAGAAAAAAAACTCCCATCAGCAGAAAGGGGCTCCGGGGGTTTGGCATGGCAGAGAGGATGGGACTAGGAATGGAAATAGAAGAAGAAAGGGCAGCCGTGCCTTTCTGAAAAGAGCCAGCTTTGAACGTGAGGGGCGACAGGTGCTGTGGCAGTGCAGAGAAGGGCCTGGTGGAGCCAAGAACTAAAGTCTGGAGAAGGATCAGAGTTTTCACTGGGAGCTCTTTTGGGAGCAGAGTTTACTTACCAAGCACCCCCAAGGCCAGGCCCCCTAATGCTATCCCCATCGCATTTCCTCTCTCGTAGTCGTCGGTGTACACACTTGCCAACATCCCCAGGCCTGGAAATGGAGGGTAAGAAGCGTTGGGTTGGATTTGACTTCTTGCATTTCATCCCACCTGGATTCAGGTGTGTCTCTCACTCCTGGGCTCCACCCTTCCTCCCTCCTATGGCTTGTGCTCTCTATTACTGTGCTCTTTATTAGCATCTGCTTGGGTGACCAGCCAAGCCGTGACGAAGGGGAGAGGGAATTCTCAGCTCAGAGACTCCAAACCTCACCCACTAAACACAATGAAATCTGATTCTCAGGCTGTGGGTTATAACACCTGAGGTCTGTTTTGAATGGACTTCCTTTCACCTGCTTCCTCTGCTGCCCAGTGTTGCTACACTCCAGTAGGAGCTTCTGGGCTGGAGAAAAGGTCCTCATGACCCTCCACTCTTTAAACAAGCCACCAAATTCCTCCTCGTTTTCTATGGCTGGTGGCTTGAGAGGCACCTTATGAGCCCAGATAACAGTTCAGAAGCTGTTTGTGGGGTACCATTCCTCCCAGCTGCCTAACTCGCACCTCTGCCTGTAAGCTAGTGCATTTACCTGCTACTGAAGAAAAAGATGAGCCAATGCCTTGGAGAGCTCGAGCCACAAACAGGAGGGTGTAGGTGCCCGAGAAAGCAAACACTGAGGAAGGAGCAGAGAACACAGAGAAAGATGGAGTTGTATTTGCTTCAGGCCCCAATTAAAATCAGATCACACTATGCACTATACACTATACACACAGACCTATACACTATAACTATACACACCGACTTAGGTTCTCTGAAGGGCACTTATAAATCTTTCCTCATTCCTGGTCCAGAGGAAGGGAGGTTATGACTCATCTTCTTCAGAGACTTTTAAAAACTAGCTGTGCTGCCTGGGTCCATCAAGGGCCCCAAGAAAACAAGAATGCTGCTGCAGCTCAGATGCCATCATTTCTGGGCAGGGAGTAGGCTGCTTTTCTCTATCTGATTTCATGCATGGGAGCCCTTGGTTCCAAGCTGGTTTCATTGCTGATTAGTACTGGATCACTGTAATGTCCCTGGGGTAAGCAAGTAAAGGGTGGAAAAAGGCAATACTCACTGACTGTAGAAAGAAACATAATGATGAATCCAATGAACATGGGTATGTGGTATCCTAGCCTAAAAAAGGGAGAAGACAGTCAAGAACTCACAGAGGATTTTTTATGCACGATCAAGAATTTGGAGCTAGTGCTCAGCATTATGGCATGTATGCCAGCAATATGGCATGTGTGCCTCTGAATATTTCCTGTATATGTATATGAGAGTGACTACATGAGAAGGGGGGAATATAGATATACATATATATTGGTGTATAGCATATATAGTCATATGTATGTGTGTAAACATTTGTATGAGTACATAAGACTGCATTTATTATGTGCCTGTGGGTGTGGTGAGTGTGTGTGTACATCAATGTGTGCGTGTTTTCTTTGGGAAAGTGAGTGTGTAACACCACTGGATGTGAGTGTCAGCAGACATACATGTATGTGAGTGCTTTTATATGGAAACTGAGGTGCATCAATGTATGTGTGTGCAAGCATGTGTCTCCATGTAATACTGTAATAAGTTCTAGACTGCACAGAGGTGCAGATATATTTTGCTGACTCTTCCTGCCAGCTAGACTAGGTGATTCCTGTCCTGGCTCTAAGTCAGAAATGTCTCTGCAGAGGTGGAAATGGGGCACAGAAATACAGAGGTTCTGCAGGGAAATCACCTGGGAACACACTAATTCAGGGGGAGAATCACATAATACGTTGGTGTCCTTGGACCAGCCACAAGAGTAGATTGCAACATGAATTTTGTTAGACCATTACAGGACATCGGTTCTTTCATAGCCTGGATGATGACTTACCTGTTGGTAAGGAGACCTACAAAGGGATTGACTGTGAGCTGTACAAGGGCTTTGGAGGCAAAGAGCAGTCCAACGCGGACATTCTCATCCATGAGGAACTCCTCCCCATCCACACAGCTGTTTTTCGGTGGCATGCTGGTCCCATTGAGCAGAAGTAGGCTGGTGCTGGCAATTCTGCTTGTTCCCTCCGTAGTATTGTCAACAGTGTCATATGAGACCGTCACTGTAGTGTTGTCAAAGTAAGAGAAGACTGAGAAGGGATGAGCTGCAGAGGGCATGGGGGTTGCCATGGTCTGGGTCTGGAGAACAGAGCTATTGGTGCCTTTATATTCAGTTGCATAGAGGAAGGTGGGGATGATTGGCACTGGAAGAAAGTTAAGGGAGGAAGTTAACTAGTGTTTTATGTAGCATTTCCTTTGTACAGATGGGAATTAATGATAGGCTACTTGTGCTGGCTAATCAAATGCAAAAGCATCCTTTTTTCCAGACCTGTAGCTCCAGCTATGACTCGAAAGTGGGATGGAATGACCAACCCAACCCGCTTAATTCATTTCCTGATTTTAAAGGAGCCTGAATTCTTACTACACGCAATGGAGGACAACCTGACCTGTACACAGGGGTTTAGGTTGTAGCCGTGTTGGTCTAAGGATATAGGCAGACAAGGTTCCTTGGGTGAATTTGATATCTTTTATTAGACCAACCCAAATGGTTGGAGAATAGTTACTGAGCAAGCTTTTGGGTTCAAAAACCCTTCGTCAGGCTAAGGAAGCTGCAGCACTTGGTGTGACCTGTACACATGCACACACACAACATACCCACAACAGTGAGCAGCATATTGTCCAGCAGCAGAGCAACAAACACGATCACCAGCACCAGTTTCCGGGACTCCCTCCCCTCCTTCAGCCACATCCAGGGGCTCCATCCTAGAGGCTCGGGCATGGCTGGAGACCTCACAGTGCTGCTTTTGTCTTTTGGCTCCTCTCTCTGTCCCAACTGCCTTTCAGGGCTGAGGATGTTCTTTAACCTTGAAGAAACACCATTTGTAAAATGTCCAGTAAGATACAGAGGGCCTGATCTTAACAGAAATCTTTGCATCAACCTCAGGGAGCTCCTGATAATACCCATAATGAGCGAAAGATGAACACATGGCTCATCTTCCAAATGCCAGTCACTTCCATTATCTCTGGACCCATTCTGCATTTAAAATAGGCGCCTAGAAGTGAAATACTTTTTTATTTATTAGTTTTTATTACCAATTCCCAAAGTACCCAGTCCCCCTTTAAGGCGCCCTTTAAGCCTTGATTTCTCCAAAATTTTGGAAGCTATCAGCAAATATCAAACTAGTAGGTCCTCGATAACAATCTCTGCCTCTTCCATTCCACATTCCATCTTTGGTGACTAAATCACGTTTCACAAAGGCATTTTATTTTCCTGACCCATCTTTTCATTCTACTGCATTGAAACGTTATAGCTAAACTCAGGACTTACAAAACAACCAAAAAATGAAAAAAAAGAAAGAATTAAGAACAGGGCCTATGAGGGACTGAGGAAGGAGTGAATAAATTAATCACAAACCTGTAATGAATTTGCACTGAAACAAGCCAACAAAAAAACCCAGTCTGTTTATGGTAGGCAGAGCCATTATACCATAGATGAAACAGGAATAAAAGAGGATGTGGGTCAGAATTAACAGTTCACCTGTTATCCGCTGGTTGATTTATGACGTCTTGTGCAGTGGCACTTCTCTTTCTACACAGATTGTTATTAAAGCATTTTTTTTCTGAACTCTAAGCTAGGAAAGCCACCCATCAGTCGCTGGGCTCAGAACTAGGGAATATATCCTCCTGTACCTCCCAGTAAAAGAGAACAAGGAAACACATGTCAAATGAACAACCGAATGAATACAGAAGAACCAATATGTAAAGAAAGAATGTAAGGGAATCATATATATATATATAAAAATCATATGTATATATATATAAACTCAGCCTTTAAAATAGATCTGATCATTCTGTTCACACATCTACACACAAACCTGTTGCATGGAGTAGCGAGGAAAAGACTTACCACAGAGAACATCTTGGTCAGTGGAGCTGGCTGCTGCTGGGGCTGACAGTGTCACTGTTCTCTGAAATGACTGCGCCCAGTGAATTTATTATTGCCTTTTATCTGAGAAGGATATGAGTGTCCCTCTTCCATGAAGATTTAATTGGAACTTCAAACAGGGTCCATTCAGTTCTGCAGCTCCCTCTGCGTCAGAGGCAGGAAGATGAGGTGGGGTGAACAGGGGAGGTGGGAGGATAGAGTTTATCTGCGGCAGTGAGGTCCCTGTTCTTCACAGCTTTTCATCAATGCTTATCTCTCATCAAACACCTTAACTCTTGCGTGGACTCTGGCTGTTCTGGGGCTTTCCAGCTCTCCTCTTCTGTGGTGCAAATGGGTGCTCTGTGTTCTGAATGGCCATTTCCACTCTACGGGCTGTAATAATAACAACATTAAGAAGATCACATTATGGGGCAGAAGCCAGAAAATTAGTGCCATTCTTCTGAGTTCTGAAATAATGACCAAAGGGACAAATAAGGCTTCTCACATAAACTGAAGAGGCAGCAAAGAGCCCATTTAGTTCCTGCCTGGTTTTCACCAGATTAAAACAACTAATGCAAAAAATTATGAGCTCAGAGGAATCATCTGGATGGGTTGAAATGGAAATGGGAGTTGCAACTTCTTGTTTCTGATTGCTGTCTTCCCTGTTCAAATATTGAGTCAACATTAGCCAACGTCACTGCAGAAACAGGCAGATTTCACCGGCTTGCTGTCTTGCGGCGCAGGGGCTTGAGGGTTAAATCTCACGCATTGTTCTGAGAGTAACATTTTGAAAAGGGCATGGGTGTCTATTTTAGTGTCAGTGTTTGTTAGGGAGGCAGGAATTGCGTCACTGTTGAGCGCAGGTTTGGTGGGTATATGTGTACAATAGGTGCCTCAATATGCATGTGTGTGTGAGCTTATGCCAACATGTGGATTGAGGTCAGTACGTGTAGATGCTACGTCATTGGGCTTGTGGCCAGCGCTGTGTCATAGCCTGGGAGAGAGGCTGTGCACATGTGGAAAGCTGCATATGGTTGCTTCTTGCAGAGTGTGTGGGAGCTTCTCTCAACGTGTGAGGGAGAGCGCTTCATCAGGGTGCAGGTGCAGGGAGCTGCATCAGTGTATGTTGGCTAAGGGGACTGTACACACTTGTATATATAGGGAGATCTGCAGACAGGGAAAAGGTTGACGTTAACCTTAATCAAAAAGTGAAGATAATAGTAATGCTGCTTCTTCTGCGGAGTGAAGACCAAAGAGTCTTTTCAAAAGGCTGCCTGGAGAAAGAAGCCAGTGCAAAGATATCAGTCCATAAAAGAGATATGCAAATATGAAGGGTATGCCCTTTGAGAATTGGTTGTAGGGGGAACAACAAAATCTACCTATCTTTGAAAAAAGGCAGGCCAAAATATGACAGTCAAAGCCATGGGGACCAGTAGAATAGCACAGCTGATCAGATTGAAATGCCCCCTCTGTTCATTATTGATGTGAGGGTGATGTAGCATGGGTCACTTGGAATGTGCTTTATATTACAGTGAGCACATCTAAGGAGCTGACTAATTAGCTCCACAGTAAAGACTCAGCGTCTACATGTGTGGCCCTGTTAGGCCGCAGTAAAATAAACTCAAGTACTATTCTGTGGCGGAGTTTAGTGAGCTGCAGTGCACTTGTATGTAGACGCTGATGGGGCCGGCTGGGGCATGAGGGTGCTTTGGTGTGGGGGCTGCCATGGGGAGCACCCTCGCGCCCCCGCCAGCTCCTCCACAGCATGTTGAGCCAGGGCAGAAGAGCCCTGGGCTGGCAGGCTGACCCCCCACCCCAGACCTCCTGCCAGCTGGAGCTGCTCCAATCTTTCTCAATGTGCTACAGTCCCAGGTGCATATGCAAACACATAACCCGGGAGCAATAAACTGTGGCACAGTATGTGCCAGCATTTATTGTGTTGCATTAATATCAAGTGTAGATGCACAATACCAGAGTTTATTGTGTTTAACTAATATCACATGTAGATGCATCCAGTTTGTATTTTCCCAAGTGGACCCGTCTGTCTGATCGGGCTGGCTCTCTGGCAGCGTTGTCAAATATTTTGGAATCTGGGTTTCTAAATTCTATTCCTGTCTTTAGCAGTGTCTTTTTTCTGTATGGATTTTTGTAGGTAACTAAGTGCTTTTTGCCTGAGTTTCTCAGTCTAAAAATAGGTGTATTGCCTATTCAACTCAGACTGGTGTTGGTGTGGTGTAATATTTCCAGATGCCATTATGGAAATGAAACATTCTCAGAAAGGTTTCTTTGGCCCACACTTTCGGCAAAACAAAAATGACTAAACACTTGCCTTTGACTAGCCTGAAGTAATGTTTAATTAATATGCTTGATACTCTAAAACGATGCTCTTAAAGTGTCTGTGTGATGTACGTCATTCTAAGTGGTACCTGATGCTAATTCCAGTAATCCTGAATTTAGTTTGTCAGTGGGGTTTGCTGTGATTGGATTGCCCTCTGCTGTTGACTCGCTTTGAAGCTTCAATAACACATTGGCTCCGAAGCAGCCTGTAATTGCTCCATAGAGGCCTGGAGTTCTCTCTGTCATCAGTGGGTGCATCTACATGTGTGCATTTACTGAGCTGTAACCGAAATTACCGCGCAGTACGAGTGTGCATCTACACATGCGCACCTGTACTGCACAGTAAATCTGGTGATTTACACTGACTTGAGTGTAAATATGATACCTGCAAATTTACATCCGATTAGTTACTACGCCGTAATGCACATGTAGACACCTTACTACACAGTAACACTATGTGTGTGGACTGACTTGGGACTAGCTTTAGTCCCAAGTCAGTCCACACACAGCATTAATGCGCTTTAATGCATGCACGTGTAGATGCCAGCCTATTCTCGTTTAGTGCGCAGTAAATTTAAGCCAGTGTAAATGCACGTGTAGACACACCCAGTGTCTGTCACAGCAGCATGGGGGAAAAAAGGCCCTGGGCAGATGAGACACAAAGCTTAATCATACCACATTGGTAGCTCTGAATCAGACAAATATTACCCCAGAAACAGAGATTAGAATAGGCAATCCCAAAACAGATGGTAAACTTGCCTAAAATTTAATTTCTGGTAATATGTCTTTTGTTTTTAATTGAGAAAGCATTGTATTATTTGAGACATAAAATGATTGCCATGTGGTTATTGGCATAGGTAGGCTGATGCTTTCCACTCAGAAAATAGGTGAATTGGTGATGCTGCAGAATCTGTAGACTGTACTTTAATGCACAGTAAAATAGGCTACTGCACATTAAAGCGCGCGTGTAGATGTGCCTACAGAGCCTCGAAAGCAGGGCCTGTGGGTCACAGGGAAATAGGGCTGAAGCACCTAACATCCCTTGATTTCCCCCTTGTCGCTGCAATGCCTCAGCACAGCTCCGCTCCATTTGTCACGAGGACAGGACTATTTCTTGCAGCTAGGAGCACTTTTTGAGGGGGAATAGGAAAGTTTTCCAAATTGCAACACTATCCCCTCCCCCCACTTCTGCCCTTCCCAGCCCAGCA